GGGGGCGCGTAAGCTGTCGGGGGGAAGGGGGCGCGCGCACCTTTTGGCGCGCGCCAGAGTACTCCTTGACCACGTAGCCGCCCAGCGAGTACATGCGGCACTTGCAGGGCGTGCGGCGGATGTGGAACGGCTTGACAAAGCCCGCCTTACGGTACGCGGTGTACTTGTCCCTGCGGCGCGGCCGGCGGGAAAGGAGTTGAGGGCGCGCTGCACAGGGGGACGTGCGCGCCTGGCCGAGGGTCGATCAGCGCACGGCACCATTGGTCTGACTGCGCGACCGGCGCGCACAGCTGCCAGACGGCTGCGAGAAGCAGCTGCAATGCGCCCTGAAAAATTGACCAGCGTCTGAACCTCGCAGATGCACGCATGCGTGCTTGGGCCTGCCGGATTCGTCCTGGACAGGCCAAGCTGGCCGTGTGGCCCCACAGGACAGAAGGGCATTGCTGCCCCGTTCGCACCATACAAAATCCGTGCTGCGCAATAGTACACGCTTTCCCTGGTTCGACCGGGTTCGAGCGGCTTCTGCGCGGCCACATCAGCGGGACCCTCACCAGATTGCTCGGGCTGCAGCTTCACTCGTGCTGCCCCCATGGACTAACAAATTTGCCTCATGATGATGCAGCTGTGGGGCCAGCGCCTCGATGGCGTTGAACAGCCCCTGACCCCAACCCATGGCCGCGCCTCCTGGCCGTGCCAAGCACTGGGCGTGCTGAAGTTTTCTAGAAACAGCAGGTATACCACTTTATAATTGTTAGCCGCAGCCCCTTCCGTTGTAACGCTGGCTCTGGTGCGGGGCACAACCGAGATTTCCAGTGGGAGTGTCTCGTGGTACTCGTATGTGGTTGATTGTAAAGAACGAATTGGGCTTGTTCAATTGAAGGGGACAAAGTTGTTTAGGGTGCTTCCTTGGGGCCTCACCCTGCTATAGGAAGAGTGGGATGCAGGGAAGAAGCTGGGGCCGAGGTGGGCGGCGGTGCCGCACAAGTGTCTATGTCTGCGTCTGAACGCCTGAGGAGTTGGCAATTAGTCTCATTATTCACAATCTGGTGTGGTCCCTGGCCTGCGCCAGCGCTCATGTCGCCGGCGCCCTGCACCAGTTGACCAGCCGGCGCCAGCTTCAAGGTGTTGTTGGCGCTTCAGGGCCGAGCGCGCACTCGGCAGCGACAGCCCAGCTTGCAGCGTCGTTCGTGCAACTGCGGTCGCCGCCCCTCACACAGGCGGGTAGTGTAAGCTTGGGGCTCGCAAGTGACTTGACGGCGCGGCAAAGAAGGATCTGGCGCTGCCGCGGGCTGGGGGTCAGAGGGTGCTGGAAGCCACCGGGCGGCCGGTCAGCGCCGGCTGTCAACCGACGAGCGCCGAGGTCCGGCGTTTGGGCGCGCCCCGTGCCTGCCCGACACCAAACAAAGCATGACCGCAGCAAAGGGCGGCCGTGCGGGCCTCGTCTGGAAAAAGGCTGGCGAGAGGGAGCCACCACTTGCGCTCATTGAGGCTCCTTGACATGCAGGCACCTCGCCAATTGCTGCCACACCAACCGCCAGCACCCCCCCCCCTCTCGCGAACCGCTCCTTTCTGGATGCAAGCAGCCTCAGCACCAGTGTGCCGCAGTCTTTTGCACTGGTTGAGCAGCGCGCCGGCACAATCAGCGCAACAGGGTGCGGAAACCACTGCAACTGCCCCTCCCCCATTTTCAGCCGCCGCTGCCCCGTGCTGCGCCAGAGCTTGACCGAAGGTACGGCGTGCCCACGGCCGTTTGAAACTGCGAGCGGGCCGCGCGCAATGTGCTCAAGCGCCCGACTTAACACATGTGATTTATTACTCAAACGTTCTTGCGACGGCGCCCTGCTTATTCGTTTCGGGGCCTCGGGGCTAGTGCCTCGACAGCCCCTTACCGAACCTCTGCTGTTGCGCCCCGCCCTCTCACAGCCGCCTCCCCCTGGGTGCCCCCGCCCTCGCCGCCCGACCCCTCCCGCTCGGCCCCGTTGGCCGCACCCGCCCGTGCCGCAGCCGCGGCGCTGCTGGGCGCGTGGCCCCGGGGGGCCTCATGTGCCCCCTGCGCCGGCGGCTCCTGGGTCACGCGGCCCCCCTCCCTGTGCGCGGTGTACCTGCCAGAGGGGCCAGGAGGGTGGTTGGGTGCGGCGCCCCAGGAGTGCACCGAGGGGAGCGCGCGGCAGGAAGAGCGCCCGTGCAGGCGGAGGGCGCCGCGCGGGTTGCGTTTCGGCACAGTATTCATTTGGTTGCGAGTTGCGTCTAGATGCCCAAGTCGCAGCCCCAAACCCTCGGCAGCCCCGCGAGCCACGCACCCGTGGGCCCCAAAGAAGCCGGCCATCGACCACTCCAGCACCTGGCAGCAGGAACAAGGGAGGGCCGCGGGCGGCCGCGCGCGCGGGCTGACGGCCGTGAAGGACGCGAGGAGGGGAGAGAGGGGGGCGCGAGCAGGGCGGCGCGTGCGCCGCCGGCCGGCCACAGACTAGCGCTGGGGAGGGAGTGCCCCCGCCGTGCCAGGGCGCGCGCACCTCATCCGGCGCCTCGAGGGCGGCCGCCGCCAGGGGACCGTCTGCGGTCGGCGGCGCTTCGCTGTAGACCACCCACGGCTTGCTGCCGGAGATGGTCTCCTGGGGGGAGCGAAGGGCGGGTGGGAGGTTGCGGGTGGCCAGTCTGGGGAGGTGCAGGAAGGAGGGGAAGAGGAATGGCGGGGGTGGCAAGAGAGCGGCGCGACGGCGGACAGGCCCATTGGTTGCAATTCGATGAGCCCGCCATCCTCCTTGACACAAGCCCGCAAGCCCCGCCCACAGAAGGTCGCCGCGCCGCGCAACACACGGCGCCCCCGCACCCGCGCGCCATAGAGCACGGCGCGCGCCGCGCCGGGCGCGTCGACCTGCAGAGCGGTGGGGCGGAAAGAAAGTACGAAAGCGCGAACACTGAAGGTCCCTGGCAGCAGCCCATGAAGGCGCCGGACCGGCGGACTCAGACCGTCAGCATCGCGCGCGCAACGCTTGCTGCGGCGCGCGCTGAGCGTCCACCCCTGCTCATTCAGGGCCCCGGAGCCCGGGCCCTCGATGCTGCGTGGGCGCAGGCGGGGCCGGGGCGGCCAAATCGACAAGGCACCTTTATGAATGAGACGTCCCGCAGCTCCAATGAGTCAAGAGTGACTACCCGGGCCGGCCCCTCAGCCCCCTCCCCTCGCGCCCCGCCGCCTGCGGCGGCGGCGAAGCAGGAAAGGGAGGAGCGGGGCGTCGGCCCTGGCTGCGGGCTGGGCCGGGGCTGCATGCGCAATCAGGGGACTCACTGCAGCCAGCGCCGGGCCGGGGGCGCGGAAGTCCCGGGTCACCCAGGAACCCCGCCTGACCCGGGGCAGCGATGCTGCGCCCTCGGTGCGTTGCAACCAGAGATCGGGCGGGGCATGGACGGCGGCGCAGCGGCGCCGGGGGCGGGTGGGGACCTGGTCGCCAGCATGCGCGGTCGGCACAACGCGCGGGCGTTCACAGGTGTGGCGATCCATCGCGCATGGCGCACCTGTATGTGGCGCCTCGTGCGCCGCGCCATCTTCAGAGCTGCGGTGCAAGCGTGCGTGCAGCGCGACATGCGGCTTTGCCCGGCCCATGCGCGCACCAACGCGTTGAGGCTGCAGGGGCAAGCGCGCCGCACAAGGGCAGCGCGGCACCCTAGCAGGCAACCGTGCTGCGGTCCGCGAGCGCAGGGGCCGCTCACGTGGAGGGGGCGCGCCCTTTGCCAGCCGCAGAGGAGAGGGCCAGGGTGTGCACCTCGACCACCCCAGCTGCACCGCCAGCCGCAGCGCTGGCGGCGGCGAGCTGCGGGGCGCGCCGGGTGAGCCGGCGGCGGGGTTTAGCGGGCGGCGCGCAGTCGACGGAGGGCTGGGGGGAAGCGGGGACGGCTTGGACAGCACACGAGGCAAACGGCAGCTTCAGGGCGCAGCCAAAAGAGCAGCGCCGGGACTGCCCCGCCGCCACACCCTGAGGCGCGCAGCAGCCCGCCGAAGCGCTATGGCTGGGGCAAGTCCAGCAACAACGGCGAGGTTTTACGGCTCAGATTCGAGTGGCCGGGGCTCGCACGGCAGGCAGCATTTGATGCTGGTGGGTGGTGATGCACACGGGCACGAGGGCAGGCATGCGGGGGTCACCTGCGCAAGCTCAGCGTCTGGCTGGAAGCAGTGGACAGCGCCGTTCGGCCCGACCTTGCCAGCGAGGTAGACCGCAGAAGACGCGTCGCTGCTGCTGCGAGGAGGGGCACAATTCAGTCTTGTGGGCTTACGTTTGTGTATGATTGTGTGCGTGTGTGTGTTTTGGGGGGGAGTGTCTGGACATTGTGAAGTGTGAAGTGTGAAGTGTGTGTGTGTGTGGGGGGGGGGGGTGTGACCTCCCGCAACTCCCGGGGGCAGCCCGGCACATGTTTGAATGCACACACACACACACACACACACACGCACGCACGCGCGTGCGTGCAAGCGCGCGACCCACCAATCGGCGTCGACTGCGACGCTGCCAGGCCGGATGTGGGGCGCCACGCGTTCCAGGTGGCCGCGGTCCCAGAGCCCCCCGGCTTGGAGGGCGGGGGCCGGGACCGCCCGCCGCTCCCCCAGCCCCTGCCGCGCAGCGCCGCCGCCGCCAACCGACGCATCCTCCGCACCCACTGGGGTTGGCGAGCGGGCGCCGGAGGCTCAGGCAACTGCACCAAAGCGGATCCAAGGGAGGCCACATCGTGCAGCGCGGCGTGCCTCGCACCCTCGCCGCGTCCGTCAGGCCGGCCGCGCCCCCGCCCCCTTGCGCACCCCTATGTCTGACATGGAGGACCCGCCGGCGGCGCTCGCCGCCCGCGTCTGCCTGGTCGCCCTCCTCGCCCTCCTCAGTATCCTCGCCCTCGGCGACTGGCTCCGGCTTTGGCTTCTTCTTGACCGCCGCCGGCTTCTCTGCGCCGACGGAGCACTTTGCCCGCCTGCGCAGGAGGCGGCGGCGCAGGAGGGCGGGGCGGGGAAGGGCGGCGGCGGGGGCAGATTCAGGGGTGCGAAGGCAGCGAGCGGCCGAGCTGCGCATTGCAAGGCACGAGCGGCTGAGGTGAGCGAGGCGCTCCCGGAAGCCGCCGCGCGCCCGCCGCGTGCGCGCCCCGCCACTGACCGCTTGACGGCCTGCAGCTGCTTCTTGATGCCGGCCAGGCTGGACACGACGCGAGCGGACGCCTCGCGCTGCGCCGCGCTCCGCTTCTGCAGCTCCTGCACGCCGGCCACCAGGCTGTCCAGTTTGTCCTTGTGGGGCTGCAGGTCCTGCTCCACCCGCTGCAGCGCCTCGTCGTGGGATGCTAGCTGCGCCATCATGCGCGCACGCGCGCGCGCGTGTGTGTGTGTGTGTGTGTGTGTGTGTGTGTGTGTGTGTGTGTGCACGCGCGCGGCAGATGCAGTTGCAGGCACAGGCGGGATGCCCCAGCGGCACGGCACGCCCCGCGGCCCCGTCGGGGAGAGAGGCTGAGCGGGACCCGCGCCCAACGGTGCTGCCGGCGGCCGCAAAGGCCGTCGAGGCTGCATTGGGGCGCCGCGCAGCGGCTGCCGCCTGGCGCCGCACACAGCAGATGCCCTTTCCTTGGAGAGCATGCATTGCGCTTTTGCCATCGTCGGGCATGCGGCACCCCCTCACAAGGAACGTATGATGCGCGTGCCCCACCTTGGAAAGGACGTCGGTGCACTGCTGCGCCACCGCCTCTCGCGCGACGCGCCTCTGGCGCGTCATTACGCACAGCGTTGCGGTGCAGCCCAACGCCGCGCTTACAAGCGCGAGGGTCAGCATCAGTACGACTGGCGGCACGTTGCACGCGCGCGGCCGCGCGTGCGGCGATTCCGGCATGCCTGCCGGTCTGCTGTTTGGGGACGGTTGCGCGCTCCCCTGCTCCGACCACGCCGGCCGCTGCATGCGACGCTCAGCGCCACTGTACGGCAACAGGAGCAGCTATCGGAGAGGTTTCTATAGGGCACGCTCTGTATATCGACGCCCCTGGAGGTTGCAAGTTGAAACACCAGCGAGCTCAGGTGCGCGCCCTCAGCAGCAGCTGCAGCACACGACGACGCCCAGCAGCATGCTGCGCACCCAGCCTGTAATCGAGCGCATAAATAGAAATTTGAACCTGTATTCACGGATCAACCTGAACTCCCAGAGAGCCCAAGGCACATGCTTGCCAGATCACAATTTGGTACAGTACGATCAAGCTATCACAATGTAAGTTCAGTGAGCTGATCGGTGAAATCAAGACTGCACGAAGGACTGATGGACTGCATATAATGCAAAATGACAAATGCTGCCCGTTGGGCTTTCACACGCATGTACATGATGAGCTTTCATCCTTTGAACCTGCGGATCGGTTCAAGGACGCCATTACATTGACTCCGGACTCGAGCCAATCGCTCATGTAGCAAGTGCTGCACTGTCTCCGAGGTGGCCTACTGTACACGGCGACCATCAGGGTGCCCTTGCAAGTGATCCATGTAAGTGACGCAAAGTTCGTTTGCCCTTGCAAATGATACAAACAAGTGATACAAATTTTGTCATCAATTTGCCTGCGTCCTGTCAGGTACGCCCGCTTTCAGAAAGACCAGAATCCACCCATGTCTCACAGCCCGCCCCCCCCCCCACCTGTCCTCCCACTCTACACAGGTATACACACGAACCACAGGGACACAACACAACACACACACACGCGTGTGCACGCACGCGTGCAGGTATGCACGCACACACACACACTCACACACACGCGCACGCGCACACACACACACACACACACACACACACACACACACACACACACACCAAATGTCCAAGCAGAGTGTTTTTTTATGCACGTAATGTGTTGGCAGCAGGCAGGCCTGTGCGTTTGCAGTGTGACTTTGACACTGTCCCTGCAGCTGGCCGACTTGTTGCAGCACTGCGGCAGCGGGTATGTCCATGCTCAAGACATGCACACGGATGCTTCCCATGTGCATGTGCGCGTCGCCTGCATGCTCCAGTGTCACCACGTTGCGGCAGGGCAACTGCTATGCGACCCTTGTGCCGCTGAATTTGGTGCTTCAGACACACCTGCTGCAGACATCCCCACAACTGCAAACCTGTCCTGGCATGCGGCCGAACGCGACAGGTACGACTCAACAGCCAGCTGACTAGTTTATTACAGCCCGCGTGAAATTTCCGTGGTCTGGCAAATGCGGTGGTGCACGTACGAAGTATGTCATGTATTCTGAAAGCACCATTTTCTTGCCAGCTCCTCGAATTCGGTCTAGCAAAACAAAATCCTCTGCTCCTCCTGGAATGAAGAAAAATCCAGCGTCATACAGCCGTTTGCGGACCGCAAAGCTAATCCCCACTTGATTGATCACGAAGTTTGTGGATTGGGGGTGTGGCAGGACATGCGGCGGGATGCCGCTGTGGTACATGCGAAAAATAACACATTCCACAGAAGGCTCCCGCTGCGCCTCCTCCAGTAGCCGGTCAACGTAAGTGTTTGTGATGAAGTCATCGTCATCCAAAAACGCCACCCATTCGGTGTTTGTCAATCCCATTCCAAAGTTGCGGACCTGTCCGGCGTGGTTGGCCGTTGCGCTCTTCGGCAGCGACATGTAGCGTACACGCGGATCGCGGCTGGGCGGCGACGACGCATTGAATGGCACTCCGTCGTACAGCACGATAGCCCGCCATGCTGGATTTCTTTGGTTGAGCATCGAGGCCAGCGCTTGATCCAGCGTCGGGCGGCCTTTGGAGGGCGTAATAAAGGTCACAACCGGGCCTGACGGCATCCTGACGCGCTGCGGCGCGTTGTGCGCCTTGTGCCACGACGCCAACGTGAACGCCACCAGCAGGACTGACAGCACCACTGCATGCAGTCCCTGATTAGCAAAAGGTCCTTTGCTTACAGCAGCTGACATGATGTTGCCTGACCACGCTGCTGAATTGAGATGCCGGCTTGCGAGGGTCAGGGAAACAACGCCGATCACGCGAGAAGCGGCTGGCGATTCGGCACTATGTCTCTTGAGTAATAAAAGCACACGTGTCACACACGGAGACGAGAGACGACACTATGATAGCACCTCGTGTACCTAATCAACCTCATGTAGAACCTCATGCCAGGTTGGAATTCAATCGTTGCACTGATGTGCAGATTAGGATCACCGTATTGCATAGCATGATTGCAGCTTGGACAGCGATGGTTGCTGAGATCATGCGCATGTGCAGCGGGGTGGAAGTGAGACCAAACTGAGCTCCTGATTTTCAAACCGGAGCACGCACCGCGCATGTCATGATCCGCTGGTGTGCGGAAAGGTGCATAGCATTAGTTTCACCAAGGTACTCACGATGAACCCTTGTATTGTGAGGTGCTGCTAGTGCTGGCCAGGCACATGACCACTTGCCTGCAGCGGGACTGGCACTGACCCCACAACGCGTTCTTCGCCCTGACCTGGACAAAAGTGTGTGCCACAGACCTGGCACGCGTGTTTGCAAACCAATTTCCATAGTGCACAAGTCCTTATTGTCAGCGTCGTGATGCAGCATTGGCAGCGATCTGATTGTGTACGTACGTGAGCCCTGATATGGCTGTGGTGAGTGATTTGGACCGGAAAACTCGTCAGCTCGTGCAAGGCGCGCTGACATATCGAGATTTACTTTTAGCAATGACCGCCTCATGAGCAGCATGTGTAGACTGCCAGCCCGACTGGGGGCTTGACATGCAGGTGTACATGATTCCCGGCCATAAAGTTCTGCCAACAAACGAACATATTGTGCCTTTCACAGCTCAAATGTGCCTTTCACTAGGAGCATGACGCCGTGATGGCGTGATCCAGGTCATATCTGCTCAGATCCAATCAACAGGGGCAACACAAGGCGCATCCGAGACAATGGTGGTGCAGCAAAGTCAGCTGGTCTTTCTCTCTCTATGTGTGTGTGGGGTGTGTGCGTGCGTGCATGTGCAACCCAGGAAGCAAGCGGGCGTGTGTGTGTGTGTGTGTGTGTGTGTGTGTGTGTGTGTGCGCGCGCGTGCGCGCACGCGCGCGCGCATGTGCATGCGCGCATGAATGTGCGTGTGTGTTTGTCGATTGGGGGGAGGGGCTGGTACTTTGACATAACAGACACAACAACCAGCACCTTCAGATGTGGCGGGGCTGAGCACACAATCACCACAAGCTTTGGGCATATGTATACTTTGGCATTTCATCGCAAAGGCATAGCAATGTAACGTGTCAACTAGGTACTGCGCGTACAATTGAAGAGTGAGGCGGATTATCATATACACTGACCGCGCCCGAGATGTGTGTTGCCTCAAGAGGAAAATGCTCGCATATGCTAAACAATACATACTGCAACATGTCCATGCAAAAAATGGGACATACAGAATATACTCATTGCAATGTATGCTCAATCGAGGCACCCCTCAACGGCACGCCGGCTCATTGTGCGCTATTTGTGCTGCGCCGGTGCCCTATGCATGCTGGCGTCGTGTATCATAAGGCTTTCGTCCCCGCAGAGTTTCATGGTCAGTGGTGATGTGGTGTTGGTCCAGGCATCGAGCCAGCTGACGAGGCAACACCCAACCAACAAGACGGGCCTGTACTACACAAAGCTCACACAAGTACCTGTCCCAGCTCATGAGTCAACGGCAGGCAGGAAATTCTGTGACTTGAATTATCAGTCCAACCTGTCAGGATCCATTTACCGTGATGCAGCGGGGGAGTACCTGTACGAGCCCCCCGAGTGCCGATTGCGGCGGTTCACTGCTGCCCAGGCGCGCAGAGTCCTGTTGGGAAAGACTGTGGCCTTCTACGGTGACTCCTTGACGCGGTATCAGTTCTTGAATCTGGCGGTTTTCTTGGCAACCGATCAGCTGATGGAGCGGTATGCGGGCGTTCCCGAGACTTCTCCAAGCCTCAATCAGCAGTTTCAGTTTTTGCACCCCAAGTTCGCTGTGGACACCAATAACACAGATATATTGTTGTTCAGGGAGTATCACAAGGTGGTGGATCGGACTGGCAAGTGCTTGAATACGTCTGAAAGCTGCCTCAACAAGCGCGACTCCTGCAACTTTCAGGTCAACACGCTGGCGGGCAACTTCACACTGCAATTCTATCCCTTGTATGGCGCCACCAACGCCACCAACACATTGGAGACGCTGATATCCATAATGGAAAACGGCACTGACGCTATCATTCTCAACCATGGGCTGTGGGGCGGTGAGAACATGACAGGCTATTGGTCAGATGTCCTGGGCCGTGCGAAGCAGGCACAAGCGAAAATAGGTGGTGTCAAAACAGAGCTGATCTGGCGGACTACATACCATGAG